TGGGGCCACGAAACGCTGTACTGGGCGTAGGAAACGCACGCGGACTGCGCCACTGGGACCTTCGGTGGAGCCCCCTTATGGGGCCACGAAACGCTGTACTGGGCACGGAAAAACATGCGGACTGCGCCATTGGGACCTTCGGTGGAGCTCCCTATGGGGCCACGAAACGCTGCACTGGGCGCAGGAACCGCATGCGGACTGCGCCACTAGGACCTTCGGTGGAGCTCCCTCTGGGGCAACGACACGCTGCACTGGGCGCAGCAACCGCATGCGGACTGCACCACTGTGACCTTCGGTGGAGCTCCGTATGGGGCCACGAAACGTTATACCAGGCGGCGCAGGAAACCGCATGCGGACTGCGCCACTGGGACCTTCGGTGGAGCTCCCTGTGGGGCCACGAAACGCTCTACTGGGCGCAGGAACCGCACGCGGACTGCGACACTGGGACCGTCGGACGCTGTACTGGGCGCAGGAACCGCATGCGGACTGCGCCACTGGGACCTTCGGTGGAACTCCCTGTGGGGCGATGAAACGCTGTACCGGGCCCAGGAAGCGCATGCGGACTGCGCCACTGGGACCTTCGGTGGAGCTCCGTATGGGGTCACGAAACACCGCACTGGGCGCAGGAACCGCGTGCGGACTGCGCCACTGGGACCTTCGGTGGAGCTCCCTATGGGGCCACGAAACGCTGTACTGGGCGCTAGGGAGGAGGGAGAAGGGAGGGGGCAGCGGGAGGAGGAGGAAGGACGCGGGGCACTGTGTCGTCAAAACGAGGACCCAACACCGCAGGATGGTTGGGAAAATATCGTCAAGCTTAAGCAGCTGGTGCAACGTAAGTCTGGGCAAGCTGGCGCGCACAGCTCGACGGTTGGTCGCCCCATGTGGGGCGCGGAGCCTGGTGCAGTGTAATAAAAGATGTGCTTCGCCCGCAGGGAGGTGGTCGGCAATCTGTGTGTTTTTAATCGGGTACTTGTTCCCAACCATCCTGTGGTGCTGGGTCCTTGTTTTGTGAAGAGACGGCGCCCCGCGTTCCTCACTCACTTCTCCTTTCTCCTCCCCCTCCTCCCTCCTCCAGTCACCCCCCTCACTTTGGCACACCCCTCACACGCTTCGTGGCCCCATAGGGAGCTCCACCGGAGGCCCCAGTGGTAGGGTTCGCATGCGGTTCCACTCCCCATTTCGGGACACCCTTCACACGGTTCGTGGCCCCATAGGGAGCTCCAGCGGAGGCCCGCAGTGGCAGGGTTCGCATGCGGTTCCACCCCCATTTTGGGCGCACCCCTCGCACGCTTCGTGGCCCCATAGGGAACTCAATCGAAGGCCCCAGTGGCAGGGTTAGCATGCGGTTCAATCCCAATTTCGGCACACCCCTCACACGCTTCGTGGCCCCATAGGGAGCTACACCGAAGGCCCCAGTGGCAGGGTTCGCATTCTGCTCCACCCCCAATTGCGGCACACCCCTCACACGTTTCCTGGCCCCATGGGGAGCTCCACCGAAGGCAACAGTGGCAAGGTTCGCATGCGGTTCCACCCCCAATTGCGGCACACCCCTCACATGTTTCTGTGCCCCATAGGGAGCTCCACCGAAGACATTATTCACAACTGCGGCACTCACAATTGCATATGGTTGGGTCCTTCGTCAGGCTAATCATTTCAGGTGCGAAACAGCCATCCGCGATGGAGCTTCTCGCAAAAACGCATGTTTCCCTAAATGCCAGCAAGGTGGTAACAGTAAACGTAAGGTGAAAACAAAAGCAACATCGTAATTTCCCTCAGGATGTCACTTGACAAACAACTTATGCCACGACACACTTCGGGCACAAACAAGCGAATCACGCACGGCTTCTCCTCAAACTTATGCACGACAAGGTTCCAGCGCGAGGCAACCGGGCTACAAGTTGGCGAGTTGCGCTGGACAGCATAGCAAAAGTGTTTTGATCAGGATGAAGGAGCTGCTTGCGATGCTGCTGTCCCGTTCCAGCGATAGCCAGTTTTCCTCGCCCGAGTTGCGGAAGTGTACGTAGGTATTCATCTTGGCTGCGCAAAATGAGCACCGCTCGTAACGAGCAAGCGGGAAACTCAAAGCGTCAAACTCAACTTGTGGGTAACGAACCGACAAGCACAAGGCTTCCAACAAGAAATTGGCGACATGTTCACCACGCCCTTGCAACATGCACATCGACCGATGCTTGGGCCAGCGACATGTGCATCCAGGATGTTGGCAAAAGGCCGTGGCTACATACGCCCCTCACTTGGCGAAGGACCCAACCATATGCAGTTGCGAGCGCCGCAAATGTGAGTACCGTCTTCGGTGGAGCTACCTATGTGGCCACGAAGCCCTTAAGGATTTGCCGAAAAGGGGTGGAACCGCATGCGAACCCTGCCACTTGGGTCCCCAGTGGAGCTCCCCATGGGGCCACGAAACGGATGAGGAGTGTGCCGAAATGGGGGTGGAACCGCATGCGAACCCTGCCACTGGGGCCTCTGGTGGAGCTCCCTATTTGGCCACGAAACGTCTGAGGGGTGTGCCGACATTGAGGGTGGAACCGCATGCGAGCCCTGCCACTGGGGAATTAGGTGGAGCTACCTACAGTGCCACGAAACGTCTGAGCTTCATGCCGAAATTAGAAGTGGAACCGCATGCGAACCCTGCCACTGGGGCCCCCGGTGGAGCTCCCTATAGGGCTACGAAACGTGTGAGGGGTGCGCCGACATGGGGATAGAACCGCATGCGAACCCTGCCACTGGGGCCTTCGATTGAGCTCCCTATGAGGCCACGAAGCGTGTGACGGGTGTGCCGAGATTGGGGGTGGAACCGCATGCGAGCCCTGCCCCTGGGGAATCAGGTGGAGCTCCCTATGGGGCCACGAAATGTGTGAAGATGGGGGAAAATTGTGAGTGGAACCGCATGCGAACCCTGCCTCTGGGGCCTTCGGTGAAGCTCCCTATGGGGCCACGAACGGAATAATGGGTGTGCCGAAATTAAAGGTGGGACCGCATGCGAACCCTGCCACTGGGGGCCTTCGGTGGAGCTCCCTATGGGGCCACGAAACGTGCGCGGGGTGTGCCGAAATTACGGGTGGAACCGCATGCGAGCCCTGCCACTGCAGGCCTCCGGTGGAGCTCCCTATGGGGCCACGAAACGCGTGAGGGGTGTGCCGAAAATGGGGGTGGAACCGCATGCGAACCCTGCCACTGAGGCCTTCAATGGAGCTGCCTACGGGGCCACGAAACGTGTGAGGGGTGCGCCGAAATGGGGGTGGAACCGCATGCGAACCCTGCCACTGGGGCCTGCGCTGAAGCTCCCTATGACGCCACGAAACTTGTGAGGGTTGCAAGGGATAGGAGGAGCGGGAGGAGCGGGAGAAGGAGAAGAGGAGGAGAGGGATACAGGGCGCTGTCTCTTCAAAACGAGGACCCAACACCACAGGATGATTAGGAAAACATGTTATCTATTGGGGGCGCATGTTTAGCTTCCGCTGGCTTCTGCCAGCGGAGGCGGCCTCGTTTTACTTCCGCCGCCTTCCGCTGACCTTGCGCCAGCTTCCGCCGAGGAAGAGAAGGCAACTCCTTCGATCCTCGAAGGTCGAGGCTGTTTTCTGGAGCGCCCCACTTGACGAGTCGCACATGGAGATGCTCTGTACCAGGACAACGCAGCTGCTTCATCGGAGGATGATCCGGCTGCTGCCGAGCCATCATGCCAGACATCGCTCGGAAGCGTATATGGCAATGGGAAATATCATCATACCAAGCTCTGAGGCCGAAGAGTGCAGAGCTCAGAGCCAAGTATTGGTGTGGGCATCCATTTGTTGAGTTTTGAGTAGCCGTTTCGCGCGGGAGGTCATCAACATTCTGAAAATCGGATGTACCCCTTCACGCTGATCGCGGCGTCCCGGTCTAAGAGCAAAACGTGTTCGCAACATGTTGATCGAGATGCGCAAAAACACCATCGTGGCAAATGATGGTGCGCACAATACTTTGACAACCACTGGCTTTGTCAACGATGTCACACGTGATCTATCAACATTACACTGAAGCACGTTTCCAAAAAAGCGTCAGTCAAAACGTGCTCACCCATTTGAATATGCCATAAAGTATCTATTTGCCGTAACCAGATGCATTACACCATCAGTCTGTGCATGCTTGCTCAACGCAGATGTATAAAAGATTCACGAACATGTTGGTGTTCAGGCATGCTTGTTCGCCACATGTGCTTCACGTGTTTACAAACGACTGTGCGTCTGAATGATGTTTGCCCGCCCCATGTCGAGAGTATCCACTTCCTCCCCGTGCTTGGTTGTCTGTGCCTGAACAATCACGTAGCACTTGCTGAAGGGCGACGGCAACACAAGACGTACAGCAGCCCCACTGCCACACATAGCGACCAGGACTGGAGACGAGCACAATGCTGCAACGCTCGTGGGAGAAGCCCTACTGCAAAGACCTGCACCCTTCCTCGGGATACCTTTTCTTCCGCCTGCCACCCTCCACAGCCCCCCCAGCGATCCCCTCACCTGCCTTCAACTTCCGCACTACTCAGGCGCGCGCTGACAAGGACTTGCGGATCCGTGGAACTGGCGCGTGGGCGCCAGATGCACGGATTGGGAAAGGTACCCGACGAACCACGAATCAAATATACCTCCTCCTCCTCCTCCTCCTCCTCCTCCTCCTCTTCCGCCTCCTCCTCCTCCTCTTGATCTGGCGACGGATCACGCCAACTCTGCATGGAAGCGAATCCCGTCGCTAATTCCACGCCTCCTCGCATTACACGCCTCGCCCAAAGTAATGACTCACCGCTGCTCGCGCTTCGATTGCATGCAGTGAACGCGCAGTAAACAGTAGTGAACCAGGTCGTGAGCAGGACTGCAGCGAAGACTGTGCAAATTCTGCATCGGACCAACCTCGACAGCAGGCCCTCGTATCTCTTCTAATTTTGTATTCTCTCCTCCTCTTCCTCCCTGCCCCTCTCTTTCCATCTGACCCGCACCCGCAAGCCGGTCCTTGAGCATCCTGAACTGCACCTCCCCCTGAGGCGTCCTGCCAAGGAGGATGCAGTGCTGGACGACCGGAAGAAATAGCTGAAACAGGCCAAAGCACAGGACCTCTCTCGGGGTGCGTCCTATCAGGGATTGCGAGGAGAATGCGCAGCTGTGGCGACCATCCCCCCGAAGGCCCACAAAGGCGAAGTCGAGGGAGGGGCATCGGTATCCATGTGTCCTTCTCCGACGTTGGGAGCGCTCTCCAGGGGCCCGCCGCGGACGACAAGCAGAGCACACCTCGCACGCCTCCCTCTCACGCAGGCGGAGGGAGAAGACAGGCGCGAATGCTGGCCCTCAAGATCACCAAACCCGAGCTCGCCTCGAATGTCCCCATGGGGAGCGACGTCTCAATAAACAGCACAAGGACTGTTCTTTGGTGTTCGCCTCATCTCCGTTTCGGACTCCAGTGGGCACCAAGCGGCCTCACGTGTCCCGAAGAGGGCCCCACCAGAGCTCCAAAAGCCCAAGCAAGGGCCCCAAGATGGCCCAAATAACGGTTCAGGAGACCCTAAATTGGGCCCAGAGTTGGCCCCTTGAAGTTCCCCGCCGGACGACGAGGAAAAATACGCCGAGGCATCCGAAAGGTCCCCCAAGAGGCCACCGAAAATCTTCCCTGGGCCAGATTCATTACAGAACCAAAATGTTTTAGTTTGTCTTGCATTCTCACGTTTTCGGCCCAGATCAACCCTGTGAACCCTAGCGTGGCCACAAGATGCCCCCAAGAGAGTTCCAAGAGCCCACGGCAGGCCCCCAAAAATAATACCGGCCCCGAGAAAGCATCCAGAGACAAGAACAGTGCACACGGGGACACCAAAATGACCCGTAGATGGCCTCTGCATGCTTCAACGTGGCGACAATGGCCCAAGATGGGCCGAGGTGGCCCCAGCTAGCTAAACACCGCCCACTGATAGCTTCTGGACTCAACCCAGAGGACCTCTTAGAGCCTCCTCGGGCCTTCAGTGTGATCTTGGGGCTCTATTGGCGTCCTCTTGGAGCAACTTGGTGTTTTCTCGAGCTCCTCTTTGAACCCTTTTGAAGCCCTCATGAAGCAGGATTGCTTCATATTGGGGCCACCTTGTGGCCAGAAAGGCTGATCTGCGGTAGACGAGAAGGCCAAAACCACGTCAGAACCTGAGAACACTGCTTGCGCTAACAGGTTCTCACATGGGTTGAAACAAGTGTCTTGCAGTTTTGGGCTTTCACCAGGTCGCCACCCATCTCCGCCTCGTCGACTCGCTGCCCGTCGCCGCTTCGTCGCCGCCTCGTGCGCTGGCTGGCATTCCCGACATTCGCCCGATCGCCCCCAGTCGCCGCCTCGCGCGCTGGCTGGCGCTTCGGGACGTTCGCCCGCTCACCGCCCGTCACCGCCTCGCTACCACTCTGAGATCGCACCCAAAATATTACTCCACATAGCTTGTAAACCATAGAGTAGACCCCATAGATTGCACAACCAGAGCATAAGACTGCACAGCATGGATTGCACCACGTGGGCTTTGCCACAACAAAAAAACATGTCGTGACAACCCGTATAAGTTGAACGACATAGCTTGCAATTATAAAATTCAACATTTTATAGGTGCAAGCTATGTCGTTTGCACAACCTAAGCAACACCACTTGCATTGCACCCCATAGCACAGCATTGCACCACATAGTTTGCAACCCATAGGTCTCTAAATACGCTACACCACATAGACTGCACCACACGGACTGTCCACTATATTGCACCACGGAGCTTGCACCACAAAGCGTGCACCACATACATATATATATAAGTGTATACATACATGCGTACATACATACACACATACACACATACATACATACATACATACATGCATACATAACTACATACACACATAGATACATAGATACATATATACATACATACATACATACATACATACATACATACATACATACATACATACATACATACATACATACATGCATATATACAGACATACATACATACATACATACATACATACATACGTACGTACGTACATACATATGCATACTTACAAGCATACAAACATACATACATACATACATACATACATACATACATGCATGCATGCATGCATGCATGCATACATACATACATACATACATACATTCATACATACATACATACATACATACATACATGCATACATACATACATACATACATACATTACATGCATACACACATACATTCAAACATACATACATACATGCATACACACAAACCAGATGTAAGGTTACAAAAGTTGTTGCCTGGCCCGGGGCCTGGCCCAGGGGGTCCCAGTTCGAGACGGCGGCGAAGACGCTATTTGAAGACGCTATTCCCCCAAGGAGCTGCGGTGACGCTTCTATTGCGCTGACGCCTGGTGAAGCTCGTGACGCCTCTATTCGGCCTGAAGCCTCTATTCCCCTGACGCCCATTGAAGCTCGTGAAGCCTCCATTCGGCCTGAAGCCTATATTCGGCATGAAGCCTCTTTTCGGCTCGTGACGCCTCTATTCGGCCTACGAGTTGCGACGCACTGGTGGGGTAGCGACCCTAGACGCGCCTATTCGGCCTGAACCCTTTATTCCCCTGACGCCCGGTGAAGCTCGTGAAGCCTCTATTTGGTCTGAAGCCTCTATTCCCCTGACGCCCGGTGAAGCTCGTGAAGCCTCTATTCGGCATGAAGCCTCTATTCCCCTGACGCCCGGTGCAGCTCGTGAAGCCTCTATTCGGCCTGACGCCTATTCTCCTGACGCCCGGTGACGCTCGTGACGCTTCGCAGGGTTCGTGCCCCAGGGGAGGGCAACTCTATAAGATGCTACGTAAAACCCAAAAGATTCGTGCCCCTGGAAAAGACTCGTGCCCCAGGAGAGGGCCAATCACGCTAAGGATTCGTCCCCCATGATACGACCGATCAGCACGCATGTGGAGCACGAAAGATTCGCGCCCTAGGAGAGGGTCAATCCGCCGCGTGGCCGATAACCTGCGCATGCTGGGGGCCGCTGGAGCGCTCAACTGAAAACTCGAACGATCTTACGAGGACATTATGAGGAGACGCTCCGCAGATACGAAACCCTTTTAAAACGTATCGGCCGGGCGGCGGCACGGAAATTATGTTCTAACTCCTGCTAGGTGGCCCAAGCGGCCAAGCTAATAAGTCCGACACAGCAGCAGGCCAGAATGGATGGGACAAGGAGGAAAAGAGCAGGGGAAGGAGGAGGACAGGCCGACGAGATAAAAGCACACACGTTCAGTGTGGAAATCGCGAGGCGGCATCCGCTGGCGAGCCGGTGCCAAGTCAGCGAGGCACAATCGAAGCTGAGAGCAAGTTAAACATTAATACCGACCACGACGAGCGTCAATACCAATGTCGCAAGCGGCCAGCCTCAGGGAAGCGCTCGGGCAGGCACCACACAACGGCCCAAGAGGCCCCAGGGAGGGCCCCAAAACGGCACCAAGGACCCCCCCGACGACGACGACGACGACGACGACGACGACGACGACGACGACGACGACGACGACGACGACCACGCGACGACGACGACGACGACGACGACGACGACGACGACGACGACGACGACGGACGACGACGGACGACGACGGACGACGGACGACAACGACGAAGGGCCCACTCGGAGCCCAGTTGGGGCCCTGACGGGGCCAATTGGGTGTCCCGGGAAGCCCTGGCCACCCTCCAGGAAGGTGCGGGGAGCAGGCGCCAGAGGAAGGAGAGGGAGGAGGAAGAGCAGGAGGAAGGGGGAGAGGGAGAGGCAAGCGGTTCAACGGGCCCCGTCCCGAAGAAACTGCGCAAAGGCCCCCCGATACTCTGAAGGCTCGAAATGCCCATGCCGAATACCATCCTGTAGACGATAGAAAGCGTACAGGGCGAGACGACGTTGGAGGACAGAGGAGCTCCACCCCTCAGGAACAGAATCTCTGTTGGAACGCATGCAAATGAAGGGGTCGAGTGCCCAGTCCGCCGGAGGCGGGGGCCATACAAAATGCGAGCGGCAAAGTTGCCGCATTGCCGCGCAACGTACAAAATGCTCAATGGTATCTTCGTAGCGACCGCACCCGAACGTGCAAAAACCATTCGTCTGAAACCTACACCGCGTATACCACCAATTGCAGATGGTGCGCAAGTACGCGGCGGCGACCTTCGGGGCTGCCTCTTTGCCCGAAACTCTGAGAACCCTGATGGCTCGATCGCCCCGGTGGGTGGCGAGAGGCCACCGCCGGAGCCTCCGTGAAATGTGGATGAAGCCAGCCTTCGCGGGGACTGTCCAGAGCATCCTGGCAATCCGGCCCTGCCACCCCACCCTCTTAGGTAAGGGGCCCGCGGCCGCGGACAGGTCGTGGCGCCGGCATTCCAGGATGGTGGCGGCCGCGCCCAGGTTCTCCAGGAAGCTCCGCCGCGCCCAGCTCTGCTGCCAGCCCAGGTGGTCCAGCGAAGAGTCATCCAGCACCCCGTCAGGCACGAGGGCCCGAAGCGCGACGACTCGCTCAGCTGCTCGAGGCCCTCCGTGGCGAGCGTTCTCGAACTTCACCACATTCAGCTTGACCGCCTGCGCCGTACTGGAGACGTCGAGCAGCGCCACTGGCATGTGCAGACTCCGAAGGTCCTTCAAGCAGCCCGGCGACATCCATCCGCGGGGGCCCGGAAGGAGGGCCTGGCACGCCTGGCGCTCCACTTGCGGCCAGCGCGCGGGTAGCTCCTCCAGCTGCCCCACGAAGAGGAGGACCGAAGCGACGTACACGTAGTAAGCCTGCAGGGTGAGAGTGAGGCCCAAGCCCAACTGCCTCCAAAGCTTCGCCCGGCCCAGGTACTTCGCCAACGGGGCGTCCCACGACTTCTCCGCGCGCCCGGGGCCGACGAACAAACCGAAGTATCCGGCATCACTCGCAATCTGAATGCCTGCCCAGCACGGCGCCATGGCGGCAACAGATGCGCGCAACGCATCGTGTCACAACGAAACAGAGGTACCAAGACGGTCTTCTCGATGTTAAG